CAAGCTTCTTGCAGCGCCATGTGCATTATGAAACATTTCCTGCTAGATCGTTCATTTCATTTCCAATTGAGTTAGCAGCGTCTTTCACTTGGAGATTTGAATTGTGGAACTTATTACCATTAAACGATGCGGATCAAAAATAGTGTTTCCTTTGACTTGTGTGAGTCTAAAAGGGCAGGTCTTGCTGGAACTAAACTGTCGCCTCATGATTTCATTTCCACGGTACGCAGTTCAGCAGGATGGGAAACATTAATATTTATGTACCCGAGTGCCCTTGTAGCGGTGTGTGCACAGAAGTGTTTAAGTGCAGTCAGTCCCTTTTATTTTGACTCAGGTCAGACCAGGACAGGCTCCAGCCTTGTGAGACTTCCAGACAATAATGAAGGGGGTAAAAAAGAAAATTGAAGACGCAGCTAGATTTTCTTTATAATGTCTGATACATTGACGAGACAAAACCTGCAAATTCATACTTTACCCTGTAAAGTCTACTGGCTTTGCCTTCATTTGAATTCATTTTGAAATAAAGAAAGCGTTTTTGAAGGCCAGTCAAAACATAATTCAATACAACAATGTTGGGTAAAAGAAAGTCATTTGGAAAGCAGACTGTCACGATTCTCATGTCATGTCACGTTTCTATGTCTAGGTTTGGGTATTTTGCTGTTCTCCCTGTCATGTTTTCCTCCTGGGTTATTGTCTGGTCCCTCTGTGTCTTTCCCCTGTCGTTAGTTTCCCTGGTGTGTCTAATTGTCTGATTGTGTTTACCTGTGGCCCTTGTGTTTCTCCTCCCCTGCCCGGCTGTATCTCGTCTTGTGATTACCCCTCCCTGTATTTAGTCTTGTCTCTTCCTGTGTTCAGTGTTGGTGCTTCTTTTGTTGGTGACTGAGCTCACCGTGGAGTGTTTTCGTTTGTCCATGTCATATATTAGTCCTTGAAATAAAGGCATTATAAGTGTTATCTGCGTTTGGGTCCTGCCTGCTTCACTCCTCGTATCACTGACTTCCTTTTAGAGTCCTAATGGACTTCTAGAGAATACTTGCAGAAACATGCATCCTTTGTTTCTCTGTACTGCCGCTAATGACGGTGAGGGAATCATTCAAATACATACAAAAAGGTCATGTAATCAATCCCAACAACAACAGCCAGTGTTGGCCATCACAACCCAAGTGTCTTGTAGCAGAAACTCTCGAGTACACATTTAAATGATTCCTATTGTAAGTTTGTCTGATAAGAGCACCAACTAAATGCCATGTACAGTAAATGCTCTCTAGGAAGCACTTTCACAGGATTTCTGGGTAATAGAAAACTGGTGAAACCTTTCCCAAAATGTCACTGACTTAGTTTGAGCAGACAGAACATGCTGGACTCTCCATTTGCATGTGAACACTCCCTTTCACTCTTCAGGTTTATTAGCAGAAATGGACTCAAAGGTAAACATTCCCACACAGCCGGCAGGTTCATGATTTGATTATGAGTTACTCTCATTCCACTCCTAAAAACTCATTAAAATGCTCTTCGGCGCGTCAACGAGTTAAATTATCTCGCGGGATGCAAATTCAGTAAATGGCAGAATGTGCTGTAAAATAATCGAAGTGAAATTACATTTCAATCTAGCAGCAGCAGCAGAGTGAATCCAGGCATGAAAGAAGCTCCAGACAAGGTCACACGGAATATTTGAGTGTGGGAAAAACACAAGCAGCTGAGCATGCTATGAACGATGTAAAATGAGAATGGCAACAGAAAGCAAATGTTTGGGCGAGCAGTTAATGTGACATTCAACAGGTAGAGAATGGCACTTGTCCTCAGGAAGTCTGGAGTTAGAAGGCTGTCCTAGTCTCATAACACTTGAGTCTCATGTTTGTACTTTTGTCCAAAGTAGCTTTTACAAAGTAATATTGGACCTCTTGTTGGATTCAGAGAACATACAGTAGTGACCTTTCTCAAACAAAGCATGATAGTATGAAATACGAGCCCCAAGAACAATTCAAAACAGATGACAACAAGTTCAGGTACATTTAAACATTGGCAGCACTGGATTTGACATTTCTATCATTTCTAAATAAGTTCAATTGATTTCCAAAACATTTCCTGGAAATAACTTTGCCATAGCACAAAGTGTGAGGAAGCACAACCTCACAAACAGTTCAAAAAGCTTTTTCTGTTTGCAAAGGTTTTTTTTCCAGTTCTCTTTTGTTAATTTATGGTTGAAAACATAATTTAACAAAGGCAGATTTATATACTAAGCATGCAAATGAAGTTAAGTTCTTAAAAACATATGAAAAAGACACGCTGTCATGAAAGGCATTACCTGAGATTGAGTCCTTTGCAGAGGCCATCTTGTGCCTGTGTTCAAAGGGGGCTCGCCTCCTCAGGACTCCTTACATGTGGTTTTGGAGTGGGCATGATCTAAGATGTGATTGGATAAATGATGTGTGATCTAATGGCAGCTAATTAAGACAAATACTTAAAGATGTACAATTATTTTTGTTTATTTTGAGGTTGCAGTATTCATGTTAATATGTTTAAGAATGACTTGAGCCCTTTTTGTTAATGTAGAGTTGTTAACTTAATAACCAGATATATTTGACTCATTTCGAGAGAAGTGACCTGATTGGCCAGGTCAAACTTGAAAAGGCGGGCACTTATGCTATTAATGTTTGTTGGAAGAAGGGAAATGCTTTTTTCTTTTTGGCAAAGCAGCACCAGTACTGCTGTGAGACGGCAGAAGAACGGTTTGTTCCTCTGATTTATGTGTTGTTTGAAGGCAGAACATAAAACAGCCTATTTTTCATGAAAACTTCCCTGTTTAACCAAACTACACTTCCCTGGCCTCGTCTTACTGCACTGAGAAGAGAGTCAGCAATCAGTTGCCACACTTTCAGGTAATTCACCCCAATGTGTTGCTTATCTAACCTTGAGAGTCTTTTAGTCTGTTGAAAGCATTTGATTGATATTTGTCTCAAGACAAGCATACAATTCAACATAAAAAAGTATGTTTCCAATTATACCTATGTCTAAAAAGTGAATATCTATTTTGGTTTAAAAAGTTCTCCATATAAGTGAAGAAGACCAGCAAAGCACATTATTCACTGCCCAAATGAACACAAAGTTTACTTTTGTTTTATGTTTCTTTCTGGTTTTTCTCACTGGTGTTTTGTATTAGTTTTTCAGTCAGTCAAATTCAAAGTCAAATTTATTTTCAATCTTCCAGTTTGTGTGTACAGACAGAGAGATCAAAAATACTGTTTCCCACAAAAGTAGTTTAAAGATAATCTAACAAACCTGTTGACATGTTTGCAACCATAACATGACTGACTGCTTGTTTCTTAAATCCAATACAAAAAACGCTATCCGGAACTGAGAAAATAAGACTCAATTTAAAATATCCCTTAGGTCCCTACATGTAAAACGCTTAATGATTCCTAGCAAGGGAGTGTGTGTTACATGTGATGTGCTGTCCGTGGTGCTGATATCTGACACACACTGTTTCTCTAACTGCGTCCACCATGAGCTCCGACTCTCTCCCCGCCTCATTAGTTTGCTCCCAAACTGCTATCTCACCCTGTCCAATGATTAATATAGATCTGTCCGTGCAGCCTGAGATATGCGTATCATAAAACAAGGGGACAGGAGTGCCATTTATTTCCTGTTAGCTGTGAGGCAGTTCTCCTCCATTTAACCCAGTTACACTCAATCCTATAGATTTGCATCGGATTTGTATGCAGGGGGTGGAAATAAGCACTAGATCAAAGTTAAGCAGGAGATTCATCTGGTGGGTTCTCCTGGTGGGAATGAGTGATGGCCTCCAGCTGATGCTCTTGATTAGTTTTCCCAGCAGGATATGTTGGCCTTTCACGTAGACTTTGAAGTGACCGAAACAACATTTGAAGGTCTCAATTTTAATTATATGATCAGCATATATTGATGCTGCCTTTTCTGAAATTGAACACAACTTGTTTTAAGGTGGCTGCTCTTCAGTTATATTCCATTTTGAATTCACCAACAATAAGGGTAAAGGGTTGCATCATCCAGATAGTTAATATGCAAAGGGAAAAGGCATTCAGCCCACTGAGTCATGTAAGCACATGCAGTATCAATGTAACTGTGGAAATTATATGTTCAAGGCCATCATTTTGATTCCTGCAATAATAAAGTCAGCTCATTCATTATCATTTAAATCTGCAACTCTGAATAGATGGATTGATTGGCAGAGAATACTTTTGATTATCTTCTTATTGTTTTTTTCCATTCTCAAGCAAAAGTGCTAAGACGTTTCCAGATCTCAGTTCTCATATTTTATTCAATATTGAAGATATCCTAAGCAACCCAGTTAACTCATTATGAAAAACTAGGAATTGATTGGTCAATGGGAGAAAAGGAAAAATCATTCAAAAAGATACCCTCACTCTATTCTTCTTTTAAACCCAACCTGCTGAAAATTAAGATCTGGTGTAATTGTTTTACTTGCTGATTTTATTATCTGTGTCATCTCAACCTTAAAAAACAAACAATCTTTGAGTTACATTAAAGGTATATTGTTAACAGACATAGAATATGTGCTACTGTGTTGCTTTAGTGTTAATATAAATGCATTATACTACACATGCTTTTAACTCTAAATGGGATAGGAATGTTAAAAACCAGTTTGGTGTGGGAAATGCCAAGACAATGATGAAATAAAAGCAGAATCACCTGCTGAAAATGTGTAATAAAGGAATGTGTACATGTCCTTTATGTACTTTATTAAGTCTACCAACTGATAGTGTGTTGTGAATCAACAATCATGTTGCATGTTATCATGCCTTAATGCTGCTCAAGAATCCAATTATTCATAAACCAGAATGGTTTGATTCCAGCTCGATGCTTTCTTATCACTAAGTGGTTGCCACTCGGCTATTTCCGTTTCTGTTCGCCTTCTCATTAAAATTCCTCACTTGTGGGTGTGATGCTGAAAGGATCTCCGGCGCGCCGAGCGGAGACGCGCAGTGTCCCTGTGCGTTCAGAGGAGGTATCAGCTGCGGGAAGAAGAGACAGCAGACCTAAATTGCAGGCGACCATTCCTTCACTTCTGGTGTCTTTTCTCAGCAAGCCACCTGCAGAAATAAAAAGAAGCCGGTCATTTGCTGCACATTTGAAGTGTTTCTCCCCAGGGCTAAAGCTCTCCAATATGTCTCGGATCTAACACCTCCGGAGAAATCGAGGAATACCAGACTCCCGTGGTGGATGTGGACATCTAAACTGTGGACATGGAAAAGATAGTGAATTTATCCCTTTCTGTTCTGCTGGTTTTATGGGGATGTGCGCTTGGAGGCTCGCCCAGTGTTCAAATTGGTAGGTATCCATTAGTTTAAACGTAAAAACCACTTGGATTGTGTGCATAAAATGCTGGGAAAATGTGCCTTGGAGATGTCTCTTACCAGAGATATTTGTGCAAATGTGGCTGATATTTGCATTTCGGTTACAGGGGGACTCTTTCCAAGGGGCGCGGATCAAGAGTACAGCGCATTTCGGATAGGAATGGTTCAGTTTGGCACCTCGGAATTCAGATTGACGCCCCACATTGACAATCTGGAAGTGGCTAATAGTTTTGCTGTGACCAACTGCTGTAAGTAGAAACATATTTCTCCCATGTCGTACATACATTTGTTTGTATTCCCATGGTACGTAATAATGAGATGAGCTTGGATAAATGTGGACAATTAGTTGCTCTTTCGATATTCTGCCGGAAAACATGTCGAGACTTTGTAGCCTTTTAGGGGGTGGACGAACATCGTGTAGGCAGGGAAAAGTTGATTTCCACAGTAACAGTCAGTCACATCCATCCCATTTTAATTCCTTCAGATTCAGAGATCAAACAAAGCTGCGCTGCAAAAATATCAATCTTCCTCATTTCTTTCACCCAACAGCCTTTTAGACCAAATACCTTTGAGTGAGTGAAGAAACGACTGCGAGTGTTCTTGATTTCAATCAACATCAACCTGTTTGTATCTAAGGAAAGAGATCAGACGTGTTTTTCTCCATGAAAACAGAAAATCAGTACTGAAATAAATACATTTAATCTATTTCGATTTGCTGATGTGGATTTTTTTTGCAGCGTGCACCGATGTTCTTTCCCAAGGAGCGTCTATTGTTGCCTCCTAGCCCCCACACAGATTTGCATTAGGATGCGATGAATTAACCCAACCGAGCCGAGGCTAAAGAATGATTGGCAGATCTCTGAAAAACAGGTAGGATATAACAAACCAAGCCTAATCACGACTCTTAATTAAAAACATCTCAAATCCAACTCCAATACTCCGTGCGCCGTTTTCCTATCAAAGTGCGGAGAGTTTTCAGTCAATATCAGTTTGAGTCATGCCTTTCTTTCATCAAAGAATAAAAATGCTCGCTGTTTTCTTTGAACTAGCGGATACAAAAGGCTGTAAATGGGTTCTGGTGTCGCTTTTTTTAATAGCCACAGCTCATACATTTCATTAGGCAGGCGGTTGCCAAGCGACTAGTCCTCTCAACAGTCCCTTAAACATAAATCAAACGCTTCTGATTGGTGCGCGCATTGGTCCAATCGATTTCATTACCATATAAAAGCTTCCTGCTTGGAGTGCCTCATTGCATCGGGAGACAAGTCGATGTTCAAGAAACAAATCATTTCGACCAGATTGAAGACGTGAACAATTAAAATGGACGAGACTTTATAACTTGTTGGGGGATTTGGGGGAATAGTTTTCGTGTAAATGTACTGTTAACAGGAAGCTACAACAATGTGTTTCCAACATGTATCTAAAAGCATGTTTTACTCTTGTAAAACTGACTTTTTATAAGATGTGACTCACATATTGAAAGGTTTATATAATCCATGAATAGACTTGTAGTTTTCCCAAATGTGTTTCCTTCTATTACAAGTGTGGTGTTACATAAACACCATTCTGAATCAGCAACAGTTCCATATGAACATCTAACTTGGTGATCCTATTCAATGATTTTCAAAGTTATAGGTAATCCTATATTTAAACCAACTTAGACCACTTGGGGTTTTAAGTTTTTTTAAATGACCGTGGCATGTCATTCATTCCCACAATATGAATTAACTGCACATGCTTTAGAAAGATCATAGAGTGAACATGATGCTACATTATTTTTAAAGTTAAACAAATTACAGCATATGTTCAGAAACCTATACACTTTTTTTCTCCTATTCTCAAATGATGGCACAAAACATGATGAAATTACTTAATAATGTTGAGTTTTGGAGAAAAACTATGTTTTACCATCCCAGTGAATTTGTTAAGGTAGTATTTTGGTATTGAGAATATTTACTCTGCACCCTGCACAACTGAAGCTCCTGCGTGATGTGTTTTGCTAATCAGCCGACACTTGTGTTTCCTACTGGTGTGGATCACGTTCACTGCAACCAAAAAAAAGCTTCATACAGTGACCCTGAGGAGAAATGAGGGGTTAAGGAAAAATGTGTCGCTGGGATTTGTGATGTAAAACTGAGTGAATGGCTACTAAATACCGAAAGGCTGAGACTGTGTGCATACTTTTAATATTAGCCGTGGTTGCATGAACTCCTACCTCCTCAGATCTACTTCTTGAGCAGAGGTAAGGGTAGCTGGTGTGAGGGTGTTTGGGGGGCGGGGGGGGGCTGTGATTTATAAACCGGTAGATGGCAGTCTGCCTCACAATCCACCTCCATGTTTAATTACAGAGCATTACCACTACCACTTTTCCTTTTGTCAAAAAGTACTCTGCGATGCACCCCACAGTGGAGAATAAAAGCATACATAATGAAGCTGGCATGGCATATTAAAAGCTAAAAGATCATAACTGCAGCTTCATAAAAAGCTTTCTGTTCGGCTCCAGGACTCACACGCTCCCTCACAAAGGAGCTATTGCCTACTGTGGCAGGTGTGATATTTCATTATGGATCTAACAAAAGCTCATGTGTCTTTGGTGAGTCAGGGACATTTGAAACACAATTAAATTGTCCTGAAGTGGACACAACTGAGTGTGTAGCGATATGTAGCAAAAGACCTGACCCTTAATATTGTATAGTCCCGACCAAACTTTAGTGGTCTGATGAAGAATTGTTGTCTGCTATCGTCTTGCCAGTCCAATGTAATATGGTAAACACATCATTTAAGATTGTTAAATTAGTGTCGGAACATATGGCCCTGCAGCCTTCAGACATATCACACTCCGGTTGTTCTTGGCCTGCAGCAGCACACTTCATCAGGGTAGTGTCAGAGACAGTGGGAGGGAGGATGATGCATCCCTCCATCAATAACAGTTCATCTGGACAGGCCTGCATCTGCTGCCAAGATCAGGGGAGTCATTGGGACTGTGTGTGTGTGTGTGTGTGTGTGTGTGTGTGTGTGTGTGTGTGTGTGTGTATGTGTGTGTGTGCAGTTTTATTGGTGTGTGCTTTCCACCAAGAGCAATGAAATAAAAAGATCTTGTTCGAACTTCCCAGAATAGAATCACCTCGGAGACTCAATGGGGATAAGTGACTAATGCACCCTCAAAGACTACACTGCAGTAAAAGAAAACTGTATATTTTTGTTATGGATGTTGAATTTCTTGGGCCATGTTACTGTTTGGTGTTGTATTTTCCAACTTTGAAATAGAGTATGCTTTAGGGTTTATCAACCCTAAGAGATAGTGTATCAATGCTAGGAACATCAGAAGCGATCTATCAATAGGGACTTATTTTTGGTTGCTGGATTTTGATCTGATATTTATCAAGAAATTATGTTCTCTTTAGAGTTATGTTCTCACTGATGAATGCACCAATTTCCATGCCAAACAAGCATGTACTTTTAATTTGCCTTGCTGCCTTTTAACAAAGCACAATGCCATTTTGTTTGGCATAGCTGGAATAAATGAAATAAAAGATGGTGGGGGCTCTCACTAAAGACTACATTGTGCATGAAGGTCCAATTATCAATCTCGAGAATCTGCACAGCCACAGCTTGCACTCTGATCCACCGGCTGTGCAAAACGACACATTTTCTGACAACTTTTGTGTTAATTGAATGAATGATGGACCCATCACAGAATCACACTTTTTGCTAATTTGACCAGCCACATTAAAAGGCAAACTGGGTAACATCGTACAATTCTTTACAACAAAATGGGCATCACTGATTATTAAGTGGAATCTTAAGCTTTGTCTACAGTAACATTTACATTTCCGTTTAAGGCAGTGAACACCATTCATATTATAATGTGCATCTGCCTGTTTGAACTGCGTTTGAGTACCCAATGAGACTTAATTGTGCTAGTATACTCCCATGCTTTTTGTTTGACTCCCACCTATTTTCAAAGCAAACCACTTTCCCTCCTCTGAGAGCAGAGACCAGTATGAGGTCTCTGACAGCTGGCTGCCGATTTAACACTTCAAAGTTCTAGTTTGTCATGGTTGAGTCACGTCATACTTTAATTTCATGCATTTACATGCACAGAGCATCTCAGATATGCATGCATTCACGGACCTTGCTGAATGATCAAAAGCTTAAAACGACCATATATGCACAGCAGAGCATTGGTTATAGCCAATGTATTGTTCACACTGAATTAAGTGCATTCTCCTCCATTTCAGAGGGCGCTTTGAAATATTAAATAGGCCTGGGAGCTGGATGGTCCGAAAATGAGGCTAAAGAACTCTCTGCGGATCTGTTTCTGCCCTGAATACAGCCCTCAACCGAGCCCTTATCACTCTGTCCTCAAAAAACACAAGACTGAGATAGCATCAGTTACAACATGATTCAAAGGCAGGAAGTCGCCTCCTGTCTCATATCCAATGGCTTACTTTGCTCCGAGGAAGGTGGCTCAAAAGCTTTTTTCGCTCTGAGCTACTGTAGGCAGGAAGAAAACCTGTTTGTCCTCCAGCGTCAGTGACTTTGAGTGCATCTCAAAGTACACTAGACAGATAAGCTACATGTTTAAGCCAGAATAGAAACTTTACATTGTGAGTTATTTAGTAGATGAACAGAAACAAAGCTTCACAGTATCTTGATTTCCTTCTCAACCCAGCTTTCTGAAAGACACCAGGGTTTGATAGATAACTTTAAAAAAAAGATCACGGCAGAAATGCACCTAACTCACCGAAACTTTCAAAAACCCAATCTAAGAGATAACTATCCAGATTTGATTGAACTTAAGGATATATACATGAAAAATAAATAGCGTATTTTTCTTTTTGAATGAATAATCTTCAATCAATGTCCACTAACTGAGCTTTCACCGGCATCAACCGATTTTCATCTTTTGTCGTCAAATATCTTATGGAACTTAAAGTGATGGAAATGAGGACCATTAACTGCTTTTGAAACCCCTTAGAAAAAGTGATCGATGGTCCTTGACTTAAGATAATTTAAAGAAAGCAATTTCACGATTAATTTCACAAATGTTTCTCTCTTGTTTGCATTTAGCCTTCATGCACATAATGATCCAGTTAATATGCATCCCTTGCCTGAAGACTCGCAATGGAACACAGCCAATTGATCATTAACATGATTTAACAGCACCTGATTCAAATTCAGTACATGACGCAGAAATGAAGCAATATGCTGTCACCTAATAGGCTTTCATTGCCAGATGGAGGGT